CGTACATTGAATTCGACGGTCACCGAGGTTGCGTTGGTTAACAACTCGAAGAATGGCTTCTACAAAAACCTTCTCATAGAGACTGAATTTCGCGTTCCAATTAAGTAAAAGAAAAATCGCCAAGGTTTTTACCGGTGTGTCCCGATAACCGTTTGGATACACTTGTAGATTCCTGATCATCATATTGAAAACTTGTTACTATACCATTACTCTAAAGTCTAATTATATATGTTGAAATAATATATGGACTCACCAACTTCTTCCTCCGATGGAGAACACATCTGATAAGTAACTATCTTTGAGCTGCATGGAGTATCTCTGAATCCCATAGGTGAATCTCGGGTTCGCTAAACTCTCTGTGATAGAGACAAGTTCTGATTTTTGAAAGACCGAAGGAATGATCACATCAACACCAAACTCACAGTGATCTCCATCGTAGACGTATCCGTTTTTCGGGTCTTTGAATGTGTCAACAGAGAAGACCTTAGGGAATCCCCACATCTTTTTGGAGGCACTAAATTTCCATACATCGGTATCTGCCAGATAGTAACAAAGATAGATCGATGTTACTATTATGCACTCTTATTAAAAAAAGATCACATTTTTTTAGGTTAAAATTAGACCTTGAATGGTGAAGTACTTCCTCTCGTTCTTGTTGTAGATATAAAACCTGAGATCCGCGTGAACCTCTTGTTGTGGAGCAATGGGGGTCGAGGAGTCTATGGCTACGTAAACCGAAATATACATATCCCAATGGTTCCCGATGTGCACAATAAGTTTCCTGTATGAATATATTCCTTTGAGATCCATTAAAAGATTCGGTTCGAGAAAATGAATATCAGATATTACCAACGTTACCAGTTGTATCCACCAACTGCAAAAGGACGAGATTCGTATATAGCTGCGTTGTGTTTAAAGAGTGTGTTATAAGATCAATCTGGATAGAGTAAGACGATGGACGACTATCTCTAAAACCCTTCACTGTGTTTGAAGCTGAGACTTTATAATCATGTGAGTACATCTCATGATTCAGGTTTTGGATTGGTCCTGCTCCTACCTCCTCTGTTTTCAGACCCAAAATTAAAAAAAAAAAACAGAGCACTTGAGAAAAAGAAAACAGAAGATTGTTCAAACAGAGAAGAATATAAAAGAGTTATTTTCATACGCTGCAGAGTTGTGTTGAAGTCATCAGTGAATTGTCGTATGAAGGAACGTGTAGACGAAGATGTGATGAAGAGACAGAACAAGAGATAAGCAACAAAGATAGTGTTTGTTGTGAAGTAAGTCGCCATCTTTTAAGGTTATAGATCTGGATGAAATGTACAGAAGAGAGATTAATGAGACTTATAGATGATTTAAGATGATGCTATTGGAGAATCAAGAAATGAATAAGATTTATCATGATAATGTTACTTTTTTGTTGCCTCTTGTGCAAATGGCAAATTTAAAATTGAAATTGAATTATTATTTTTGGGGTTAATAACATTGTTTAATTGACTTTTCGATCTATCTCAACTTTAGAATATTTTCTTTATCAATATTCTTGAATCATGAGAAAAAGCCAACTTTTTCAATTTTACTATCATTATTGGAGTTCATACAAACGATGCAATTATCAGGGACAAATGTTGTTACCTTTTAAGTAAAAAAGGTTGTTACCAAGTAGTCAATTGTTGTTACCTCTTTCATATATCATGTTTCGTATTGAAAGTTTGAAACCTTTGTGCTGACTTTTTATTATTGACCTCACATCCGAGTTTGGGCTAAAGAGAGACAAAATTTATCAAAGAAAAATAACACCATTGGGTCTCTGTTCCTAGCAGCCAACAAGGGGTTGGGAAGTGGCTGATGCTAGCCCAGCCAGCCTATTACAGTAACTAAACACAAATATCATTTTCGCAAACGAAAATATACCACTGTGATTGGCTTGACCGGCTACATCACGGGACAATGGCAATAGCAGGCGAGTTCTGCTGCTCAGCCACAAAGACTTGTTTGATCTGGACAGGTAGCTTCAGAGTATGTAGTGGCCTAGATCTTATGCTCAAGGACATGCTTCAGCTGAACCTTTTGGCTCTCTATTTGTGCTTCTATGAGCTTTGTCTTCAAGCTGTTCTTATGTGCACCTCTAGGCCACTCTATGCACCCTTTCATCCCTCCTCGGTTTACATTAGCATTAGCCGAGTCCGGTGATGTGCTCCATTGCCCCACCAAGTCCAACGTGCTGAATCCGCCTTTGCTTGCGTCTCTCTCTGGTGAAACCATCCCCACGGTTGATTTTCTCACGTTTGAACCCCTTCCATTGATACCTTCTAATGAATTCCAGAGTTTTGCCATTGACGATACCTTTTTGGATTGTCTTCTTGGAACCGAGCACACTTCTTTTATTTCTCTCAATGGAGTCTTTTGAAACTCTGTCCCCTTCATGGATACATTCCTGTCACGGTGATGATTGTTGCTACTACAAGGGATGCTCTCATCTGGAGAGTAACTGGATCCGTGTTCTTCGGAATGGCTCACAGTTTCCCAGCCACTGTCATCTTCTTCAAATTCACCATTCTGATCAGTGAAAGCATTCGAGTGTCTCCCTTTGTTAATCACATTGACATCTGAACTTACCCTGTGACCTTTTGAAATGTTGCTGACCGGACTGTAGGCAACGCATTGCTCGGTTTCTCTATCCTGGGCTTCACCTAAGTTCATTTCTTCAAATAACATAAAGATATCATCCGGTTTTGCGGGTTCATATGTAAATTCCTTGATTTCTTGGACATTCTTAATTGATGCAGCAGTTTCTCTTAACAGTTCCGCGCCTCTCATCTCTTTCACACCTGTAGTTGCATTTCTTGATTTGAGGAAGGCTTCCAAATCTTCTACAAGCTTGTTCATTTGTGAATACTTGTCCTCGAGTGTTACTTTGGCATCAATAAGCTTCATCTGGACACGTTCCTCGCGCCAAACCTCAGCCATCTGCAGCATTCTCCTTTCGTCGTCTACTTCCTCTCTGATATTCATGGATTCACCCTTCAATGCTTCAATCTCAGCTTTATCTTCCTCTATTTCCTTGGCGAGTTCATCGCAAACTTCTTCGATTAATTCTCTTGCCTTCCTTTCCTTTTGGTAATCATGCATGTAACGCTTTACAGCCAACTTTGAATCTGCAAGCTCATTGACTAACTTTAGATTGACGATTTCTAATCTTTGACGAGTTTTCTTTTCACTGTTCATCTCAGCTTTCATGTCATCCATGATTGCTCGGACCTTCTCATGCTCCCTGCTCCGCCAAGCCGCCCTCTCCTCGCTAACTTTCCTCAAGAACTGCTCTAGCTTCTGTCTCTGAGATCGCTTCTCACCCTCAAGATCCTCAATGTGAGCTCGAGCTTCCTTCAGTTTCAACTCAATAGAAGAAGCCAATGATGCAGCATTCACTTGTTGATCACTCAGCTTCACATTGCTGTAGTCATCCCTTGTGTCCAAGAAGATGGGATCCCATTTTGTTGCCCCCTCCATCGCACAATGAGGAAATGGAATTGAAGGATCATGCTAACAGCAAAAGATAAAGAAGAATTCAGATCAAGAAACACAAAAGGAGATGATTAGACGAAAACAGTCACATAAAAAAGAAGGACCTTTAAGGACTCGGATTTGGAAAGCCAACCAAAGAAATCTGCTTAGTGTCAATGTCTTAAAAGTGGTCAAGTTAACAAATTATAGATAAGCTAGGCAGCATTATCATACTCACACCAAAAAGGTAAAACTGATCCCAAAGGCCAGAGATACTAGCTCAAGTAACAACTCTAAACTCTCAGAACCTTCATCTCAACCACAACTTTTAACTATGCTACTCTATAAACTACTCGAGCAATAAGTACTGTAGATGACTGACCTTAAGCAAGAATCCACTTTTTGTTGCAGCAACACAACTATGATTGTTTCTTAAACGGTTGCTTTGAATGCCAAAATTATTGTCATCATGGTGATGATTGAAAAGAGAACCCAAATGTCCAGTAGCAGGACCAACAACACTTCCCTGGAGAAAATGAAAATAATTTTTAATTTTTTCCATATAAACGTAACTAAAACCAAGTTTTAGAGATCCAAACACACAAGAAACAGAGTGAACAGATTCCAGAAACATGATCGAACACCGAAAAAGCAATACAACCCAGTTAAACCAATCCAAAACTAAGCAAAATTAACAATTCCTGTAAATTCTTTTTGATTTGATATAAAAAAAAAAAAATCCAAAAATTAAAGCTGTACCTGAAACCCTAACTCATCTCTGCGCCTCTTATCTCCGCCGCTATAAACCGCATCGGACACTTGCAACCGCCACACTCCGGCGGCAAGTTTCCTTACAGTTTCCGGTAGTCCACTTCTCCTTCGTTCCTGGCTGAATATCTCCGCCCAATTATCAACCTGATTATTACAATCATCATCTTCAACCGCTCTGTTTCGATCCTCCACCTCCCATTTCAATGGAGGAGTCTCTGGCTTGCTCCTCCGCCTCCTGCCGGAAACGTCGGATCTTCGCTGACGAGTCAAGCTCGGTCTCAGCTTCCGGGCTCTTACAGTAGCCCTATGAATACCCCTGAGATTTGGGACTGTGGCGCGTAATGTAGCCGTCGAATCAGATTTTCCGGTGAACTTCATCTACGTAAGAACCACCATAGCCGGAAGAATCAGCCGAAAATGCGTGAGGGAGAATCAGTCCAGAGATGAATGAGAGCTCGTGATAATGCAACTTGATTCGGTACTGTTAACGAAAAATGCACAAGTACAGTGTATATATTGATTAGTTTCACATGTCCAAATTTTTGTTTTCTTTGTATTGAAAACTGAAAATGGAACACATTTTTTTATGTGCTAGATTCTTCTTTCTTTCAACAACAAAAATAGAACAAAGCCCATCTATTTACAAAGGTAAATTTATAAAAGGATTCAATGTTGTTTGTTATTTATGGGGTTCAAAACCTGATTGATTATGAGCCTTTTGTGGATCCTTGTATCGAGTATGAGTGTTGTGGTATGTGTTATACGGACTGGACCTTGTAAATAGTTAATGTATCAAATGTAAATTAGTGTTTGTAGTATGTTTTCTTTTTTCGTCTGTTAATCGATTGAGTTTAACTACCTAGAAACTACATCACATGCAAAATACAATTATGATAACGAGCAACGATTTTACAATATAGCTCTTTCCGTAAAATATGAATCTATTACAAACGAGACCACAACCGACGATTTTAACTACAATATTGTACAAGTTTCGATAAGTTTT